TCACCACTACGGGTTTTATTTTTTACTATATTCAGGAAAAATTACTGAAAATTTTGGGGAAAAAAACGTTTTTTTTTTACATTATGTTATAAAACATTTATTATTACCCAATTTTTTGGTAAAATATAATAGACGGGGAAACGTCGGGTAAATAGACGCCAAACATGCAAAGCTTAAAAATTGCGCGCACCCGCGAAATCGCAAAAAAATAGCATACCCAAAATTGACCATAGGCAACGCTTTAAAAGCTTTTACAGCTCATCAATTTCATGTTATAAGTGATTGATGGCCCTAGAATTATTGCTCTCTCGTTTGCGGAAATATGTAACATGTGCGGTGTAATGGCGCAATCGTCGTTTTCGCAGGTATGCGCACCTGACGCATGTTTACATGCGTGTATGTAGGGGTGGGGACTTTAAAAAATGTTTTTTTTTAAATTCTTTTTTATGTGTAACTTAAAAACTTTTGGGGGGGAAACTTAACTTTATTGCCATCACAGAGGGGGCTAAGAAACCCCCCTACGTGATGTGTATTGCATTCTTAGGAGTCACAGGGCTGTTTTTCATACTTTATAGATTCTTTTACAGGCCAGAGGCCTAGAAGTTCAAAATTCCCTCCACAATATCTTAAATCCGTCTCTCTCAAGCTGGCTATACACCTTACAATTATCTGCAGATTTTCTATGGTCAGATGGAAAAGGTGCAACAGATTCCTCCATCTACACTTAACTCTGTGGATGGAGTCATCTCCACCGGGGCCAATCTGTTGCACTTTTTCCATCTGGCCACAGAAAATCTGCAGATAATTGTAAGGTGTATGGGCACCTTCAGAGGGTCAGGTTGTTATCGCTAAACTGCAATCAGCCGTTTTCTCCCTCCTCCACTCTCTGCGGAGAGAGAGCAGAGAGGTGTGTGTGTGTGTGTGTGTGTTGCCCCAAGTCCAGGATCCTCCACCATTCTTCTCATTTACAGATATGACTGTTAGAACAGATAAAAAGACATGGGGGGGAATTGATCAAACTGTTCTTTTGGCAATTAAACAGTTTACATATATGCTTTTTAAGCTGCATTTAGCAGATGGGCTGCAGTTAACCACTTGCTGACCAGGTGTTTAGACCCCCTTCATGGCCAGGCCATTTTTCAGTATTCAGCGCTGCAGTACTTTGACTGAAATTTATTCCGTCATGCAGCGCTGTACTGAAATGAATTTTATACCATTTTTTGGGGACAGATAGAGCTTTCTTTTGGTGGTATTTAATCACCACTACGGGTTTTATTTTTTACTATATTCAGGAAAAATTACTGAAAATTTTGGGGAAAAAAACGTTTTTTTTTTACATTATGTTATAAAACATTTATTATTACCCAATTTTTTGGTAAAATATAATAGACGGGGAAACGTCGGGTAAATAGACGCCAAACATGCAAAGCTTAAAAATTGCGCGCACCCGCGAAATCGCAAAAAAATAGCATACCCAAAATTGACCATAGGCAACGCTTTAAAAGCTTTTACAGCTCATCAATTTCATGTTATAAGTGATTGATGGCCCTAGAATTATTGCTCTCTCGTTTGCGGAAATATGTAACATGTGCGGTGTAATGGCGCAATCGTCGTTTTCGCAGGTATGCGCACCTGACGCATGTTTACATGCGTGTATGTAGGGGTGGGGACTTTAAAAAATGTTTTTTTTTAAATTCTTTTTTATGTGTAACTTAAAAACTTTTGGGGGGGAAACTTAACTTTATTGCCATCACAGAGGGGGCTAAGAAACCCCCCTACGTGATGTGTATTGCATTCTTAGGAGTCACAGGGCTGTTTTTCATACTTTATAGATTCTTTTACAGGCCAGAGGCCTAGAAGTTCAAAATTCCCTCCACAATATCTTAAATCCGTCTCTCTCAAGCTGGCTATACACCTTACAATTATCTGCAGATTTTCTATGGTCAGATGGAAAAGGTGCAACAGATTCCTCCATCTACACTTAACTCTGTGGATGGAGTCATCTCCACCGGGGCCAATCTGTTGCACTTTTTCCATCTGGCCACAGAAAATCTGCAGATAATTGTAAGGTGTATGGGCACCTTCAGAGGGTCAGGTTGTTATCGCTAAACTGCAATCAGCCGTTTTCTCCCTCCTCCACTCTCTGCGGAGAGAGAGCAGAGAGGTGTGTGTGTGTGTGTGTGTGTTGCCCCAAGTCCAGGATCCTCCACCATTCTTCTCATTTACAGATATGACTGTTAGAACAGATAAAAAGACATGGGACGCTCCATTTTCGATAGATCCCCCCACTGTGCAGTGTCACCAGGGATGTGCGGCATCACCAGAAATTGTTTGGTGTCACCGCACATGTGCTCTCTGAAGATCCCCGGTGACCCCGCACATTTAGCCTCCAACATTCTAGCCTTTCCACCAGAGTACTAAAAAACTACATTTCGTTCAACATTTCAGAGACTCACTGACAAATGCGACAATCTCTTGATCACATAAAGAATAAATAGCAAGCGATGTGCCCTTTGTGAAGAAATGGCTCATCCCCTCTTTAAGGAGGGGTGATTGATTGCTTTTTAATGAACAGACTTTGCTCAACATAGGTCATGTGACTAACAGTGCTGCACAGAACAATGCATTTGATTACTGGGGTTATTTGACTGTGTAATTGTTATGTCTGCGTGTTAATTAACTGTTTTGTGTTTCACTGTAAAACACTCCATTTGAAATGACTTTATTGAAATGCTCACAACTCTGTGAATCTTGCATCAAGTGAGACTTATGAGAACAGCCAGAAATGCTTCATTAAATTCATTTAACAAGTTATGTACATACTCAGCAGGTTTCTCATGAAAAAATATGGCACGACAGATCGGCAGTCCTACTACAAGCCAATCGGGCATCGTTATAAACCGGCAGTAGAATTTTTGGTTACTGTGTATATAGAACCAATATAAAACTGGCTGGTATAACATTGCCCCTCCTCTCTATACACATTGCCCTCCTATCGCACACAGCCGAACGAGCCCAGCAGAGTGGGCGGGGGACTGGTGAGTAGCGGCAGCGCGCTGTGATTGGCGGAGGGTTGCCATGGCAATAGAACTCTGACCCGGATCGGGAGCCGTGCTATACGGAGGGAGCTTCTCCACTGGAGGATTCCTTTAAGAACTTTCTGCATGCAGTTTGCTGCCCTGTCCATCTTTATATTGAGATTTCATTGTTACCATTCCTCCTTGATCCAGCATTTCTCACAGCTCTAGCAAGAGGTCCTTTATCTACACCAACTTACAAATCTTCTATGCAGATGGAAAATCTTCCCTTCACTAGACTTTCTTGGTACAACCAATATAAAAATACCTTCAGAATCACGCGGTAGATCTTTTTGACTAATGTACAATTCTTAACCCCTTCATGACTGAGGCCCTTTTTTCATTTTTTGCACCCATGTTATATTCAACATTTTAGGCCTGAAAATGACGTAAAAGGGATCACACTGCTCTACAGCGTGCGGGAATTAAAATCTAAGCAGAGGCAAAATGTTCAGTCTCTTAAACAAAACACAAGCTGCTTATTCCTGGCAAGCGTGAAGATAAATGGTAAAGGCATCCAGCCATAAAGCAACCGTAAGCAAACAAAAGATCTGCTCACAAGAGCCTTACTGAGTCCTTGTAGAAGCAAAGTCTCTGGTTCTAGGTAATGCTCCTTTTTGGCAACTTCCGCAATTCATTGATGGGTTCTTGCCGCCCTCACAGAATTAGATGCGATAGATTTTTTAGTTCACAGCACAATACCCGTCTCCCTGGGCATAGATAAATACAGTCCCTGACACACAGCTAGGCCCAGCTGTCCCCATAAGGACATGCCAAGCAACAACCAAAATGTAGTGCATGCAATCAGGAGTCCTTCCTTATCGGAAACTATCTGATGCCAAGTAAAACCAACCCCAGTACACATTTTGTTTTTAAAACACATGGTGAAGACATACAATCCTTTACCCTAAGGTCTATACTGAATTACCTCAAAGCAGGCATTTAGGAATCGTGGAGGGGCATAACTTCCAGCAAATACTTTTCCTGCCAATTTGGCAGCTTTTACAGACACCCTGTTAAGAGTGATAGCAAAAACTGAATGCTTGTGGGTGCTTTAAACTATTTGACTTATTTCTCCTACAGCTGAGGAACCAATCAACTTACAGGTTTGCTGCCCTGAAAGATGACTGGGAGAAAGATCGTCTCTTAAGACCAGGCTCAAACTGTATATTACTGGAGGAATGGATGTAAAAGTTTTATTGGGGCACAAACTTACAGTTCTCCAGAAAGGTAATTCATTTTGAATTGGGCATGAAATGAATTCTGCCTAAAGTAAGCCTTTTCTGAGGGCAAAATGTGGGCAGCCAATGCTGACCTTTTGGAAATGCTAGTTGCTTGGGTGTTGTACTGCCTATCTAGCACCAATACATTGAACCATTGTGGATTTATATCAAGATACAAGGTGTAATCAAAAAACATCTTGTATCTTGTTGCTAGGCAGCCTGGCTTCCTGATTGGCTGGAGAGCTGGCCCCCATCCTCCCCAGCAGCACTGGCGGTCAGAGGGAAATCTCACTCTGACCGGAAGTCGCTGTATCGGGGTAAATATTAGAGCATTTGGGCGAATACGAGTATTTGCCTGAATACTCTATCAGTGCATACCTATTATATATTCCTAAAGTGAACCTGTCTTGTCCAATGAACAATAAGAGAAACATACATCATGTGTGGTCCCCCAGATAAGAAAAAGATTGGCCAAGAATCACAACTTAATGCACAAACACAGAATCCAAGAAAAGAGAAAAGACTCATAACAGAAAAACATATCTGTAACTGTAGTTTATTCAGCAACATCTTGAACAGAATGAAAATGTTTTATGCAACCATCAGCTACTTTTTATATATTTAAAAAAAAGAAAAAAAAATATATACACTTCTTTCTCAAAAACATAATGAAAAAACATTACAACAACAAAAATAATTCGGAAGCTCCTCTTCCATGTCCCGGACAGCTGGGTTTGTCATATAAACTAAACAAACAAATCCAAATTTACATTCTTCTCTTCTGTGTGCTTATATATAAAACTGTAAGGGAGAAAATAAAAAAATCCTATGAGCATGGGAAAACAAAAGTCCTAAACATATAACTATGTAGCACCAACAGTGTTACGCATAAAAACTCCACATTTTGTAATACTCTGTTTCCCCGAAAATAAGACCTATTACTATTTTTGGGAATTGCTAAAATATAAGACCTACCCCGAAAATAAGACCTAGTTGTGACCATTCCCAGGGCCGGTGGTGGCATAAGGGGAACTTGAAGAGCCGCGGGAGAGGTAGGAGAGAATCAGCGGTGCCAACGAAGCCAGCGCTAGAGGAAGCGAGGCGGCACCGGAGGCCGATGTTAAGCCGATGTTTCCTCTATAGCACCGACTCCTGTCACAGGCGGAGTGATACCAAATGCACTCCGCCTGTGAGGAATGGATAGTGAAAGTGCGCTTCGCTCATTCTGCCCAGCGATTGGTTACCAAATTGCTCTTGGAAAGGTACAGCACCCTTGATTGCCCTGATCACCATATTTTTGTACATGAATACATGTAGACTGCTGTACATGAATAAGTCTGGATTGTTGTACATTTAAAAAAAAAAAAAAAAGACCTAGTGTGCTTTTTTTAGCCAAAAAAAAATATAAGACAGTGTCTTATTTTCAGGGAAACACGGTAGCTAGTAGTAGTTGGTCACCTTCCAACAGAATTATCTACCTGAATGTGACAAACTACTACTTGCCATACCTGGATAAATGAAGACCTTTACAGACATTAAGTAGTGTATAAAGCAGGAGTTAGTATTGATTTTATTTTGTTCTTACCAAGGAATAGACTGCATACTAAATGAATAGTAAATATAAAGTGTCTGAGACTACACTGTTTAGATGGTGAAAGACATGCCATTGTAATTTAACTTCAAAGTAACAAATACATTAAAGCCAAACTAACACTTTTAAGCAGTTACACAAACTATTTTAACTACCATAGTACTAGAGCGTTTTTTTTTTTATTTTTGCATACACATACCAAAATATTTGATTAGAAAACTACTTTAAACCCCCAAACAAATATTTTCTGACAGCAGAGGCCCTCTGCCTGCTGACAAAAAAAAATAAAAATAATAGATAGATACCAAGAGTATGTATGTATGTATGTATGTATGTATGTATGTATGGTTAAACCTAATGATTAAAGTGACCACTGCAAGCCCCCACTTCCCCCCTAAGTGTAATACAGTTTTCTTAATCCCTGTAACTGCCCCACTTTCTTTTGCTAGACACCCTGGCCTGTTAAATGAAGTGGTAAAATAGCAGATCTAACGGAAGCATGAACTGGTAATACAATTATGTCATAGTAGGGATTAGAAGAAAAAATAAAGTTTTCTTGCATAATTTGTGACTATTTACAGTTGGGCAAAAAAGTATTTAGTCAGCCACCAATTGTGCAAGTTCTCCCACTTAAAAAGATGAGAGAGGCCTGTAATTGGCATCAAAGGTAGACCTCAACTATGAGAGACAAAATGAGAAAACAAATCCAGACAAATCACATTGGCTGATTTGGAACTAATTGATTTGCAAATTATGGTGGAAAATAAGTATTTGGTCAATATCAAACGGTCATCTCAATACTTTGTTGGCAATGACAGAGGTCAAGCATGTCCTGTACGTCTTCACAAGGTTGGCACACACTGTTGCTGGTATGTTGTCCCATTCCTCCATGCAGATCTCCTCTAGAGCAGTGATGTTTTGGGGCTGTCGCTGGGCAACACGGACTTTCAACTCCCTCCAAAGGTTTTCTATTGGGTTGAGATCTGGAGACTGGCTAGGCCACTCCAGGACCTTAAAATGCTTCTTACGAAGCCACTCCTTCGTTGCCCGGGCGGTATGTTTGGGACTCAAGGTTTGCACTCAAAATCTCACGATACATGGCCCCATTCATTCTGTCCTGTACACAGAGCAAACATAATTGCTCCGCTACCTGCTTTTCAGTTCTATACACTGGTTATGGTTTACTGCTCCTCGTCATAATAAGTCTATATGCTACATAACTCATTAAAAAGCATACACTCCCTAGGTTTCGGATATCTTAGATCAACAGTTAAGGATTGGACTGAGTCACTTCAAGTTGTCTATAGTGGCAAACCTACAAATATAATACAACGACAAAAAAAATAAATGGAAGAGCAAAATATGAAAATCATATCAAAAATGACTGGTACACCCTGCAAAAAAAAACAAAAAAAAACTTTCCCTTTGAAGTACCTATATGCTGTACAGAAAAGTGTGGCATTCACAGCATGGAGTACATTAGACTCCATTCACACAGCTTTACCAGAGGAATAAGAATCTTTAGTTTGGCCATGAGACTTTTTAAAATCTTATTGGATCTGAAAATATCAGACACTTTTTCTCTTTGTGAATGTAACGTATCCAATAAGCTACAAGCCTAAGCAGTGCACTATCTCTACAAGACATATTAGGGCCATATTTTCAACCTCCTAGCATGTTCTTGGATTGTGGGAGCTCACTGATGCACCTAAGGGAAACCCACACGAACAGAGAGAGAGAGAGAGCTGTGAGGTCTACTGCTTAGCTGTTACAGAAGGTAAAATAAGGCAAATAACTGCTTGTAGTTTTCTTCTACATGATTACTAGACAGGACACAAACTGCTAGAAATGTCTCTCCACGCCATGCAGAGCAGAAAATAATTAACTTGACCAAATCAACAGATGTTTAGTCCAAGGAGCGACAGTCGATGTATGGGTATTCGGACGGCGGCCATTGCCGGCTCTCAGATTACAATAGCCCCCAAGAGGAGATGGTGGATGAGTCTCCGAATCACACACTTTCTCTTGTCAAATCAGAGTAAGATTTGGGCCTGATGGTTCAGTTCTGGCATCTCTGCACAAAATGGAGGGCCCTCAAGAGAGCAGGAATGCACAAAGTGAGAACTGCACGTGAATGAAAAGTGAAAACAGTGCCAGGCAAATATCTCAAGCATCCAAAAAAACTTTACTTGCTTCACAGATGACAAGAAGATATGTACAGTGTGTATCTTCTTGTCATCATTTGTGTAGTGAAAAAAATAGGATTTTTGTACTCACCGTAAAATCCTTTTCTCTCCGTTCATTGAAGGATACAGGGCAACAGATCGTAGATGCCTACCATTCAGGATCTACGATCTGTTGCCCTGTGTCCTTCAATGAACTGGAGAGAGAGGTTTTTTGGCCTCTTGATATTATTGTCTGGTCCTTTTTTTTTAGCAGAAAAGAAGATAAATGAAAATACAGCGACCTTCTCTAAGGACTGCCAAGCTGCAATATTCAATTATTTGTTTAGATACGCTTTCATTGTAAGATTGATGAGGCCTGCTTTGGTCTGTAACAGGTATAAAGTCCCATCTGACACTGTTGTGGGGAGCAGTGTTTGGAAAGGTGAAGTCTGTGTGTAATGGCCCCAAATAGTTTGGTTTTGCAAAGTACTTTAAGCTAACAAAGCTGCAAATTAAAAACAGTGGAGCCAAATTAAAGCAAAAGCAATCCATGATTGTTAGTAAAGTGGCAAGAACTACATATATATTTCTAAAATGCTTTCTAAGGCATCATGTCTTGGATTTACCATTATTTCCACGGATAAACGCATCTCCATATTTGTTCTTCAGCTGTCCATTTACATATTCTTCTGTCTGTTCTAAAGCAATGTTCATGTACCCATCTAAGCACGCCAACACCCCTGTAAGTTGGGAAAGAAAAAGAAAAACCTCAATTGCATACCTAAAGTGTTTCCTGATCTTAGCAGCTATCGTACAAGATATACTAGATGCTAATATTTTTCTTTACCCTTCATCTTTTCTGAACCAAATCCAATAGGTTTGAAAGAAAATGTGTCTTATTCGAAGTGCTTAACGATGAAAGCGTGTTTAATAGTGAGAGCTTAGCAGGTATGTTCTATCTGTAATACAGACCTATACAGGCAGTCCCCGGGTTACGAACTAGATAGGGACTGTAGGTTTGTTCTTAAGTTGAATTTGTATGTATGTTGGAACATTTTTTAAGTGTAAGCCTAAAATGTTTTTGTTTTGGATAGCACAGGGAAGAGTTTACCCCCTTAAAAGTTTGTTTTGCTGTCTGTGCCCCTGTTCAGAAGATTTCACCTCACTTTCTGTCCCTGTGACAATTGGATTTTGAAAATGTTGGGTTGTCGTGGAAACAAGGATTGGTGATAAAGCTTCACTGGAGACCTTTTTCCCATGATTACTCTTACAGGAGTGAATTTCCATTCCTAGGGGTAGATTTCCTTTCACTTCCTGTTGTCTCAAGGGCAGGAAGTGAGATTCAATCTTTGAGGAAACAAGACAGCAGTAAAAACCAGAAAAGCTGGTGTATAGAGCAAATATAGCCTAATATTCTGGAGCCATATATTCCAAACTGCATACAGTAAGGAACACAAAATCACGAATTAACAAAACATTCACGCATAGAGAGCAAACGACTTACAGTTTACAATTAGATGCTCTTCCTAAGATCCAGTGTTCAGAGGGGGCAGACTATACAGTAACTCTTTCTTCCAGATAAAACTAGCTCTATGGAAGCTGTGTGCCCCACATAGGACACAGCAGCAGTAAATAACAATTCCTGAAGCCCAGGGGGCGTGTCTAAGACAGTAATTTGGTCTTGTGGGGGGACTGGGCGTCTGCAGATAGAAAGTGTGCATGCTGCAATGTCCTTTAATAAAAACAGGAGAGGAACACAGTGGAGAGGGGAAGGGGAAGGGGGGAAGGGGGAAAAAAATGAAAGAGCAACACAGTGTTCCATCAGACACCAAAGGCAGACGGAGATGGGACAGGAACAGGTGAGGTTGGTAATATCAATACCCGATTAGTATTGATAGTCCAGCGACTGGAACTGCTTATTTAAACCAAACAAAGTTAGCTTTTAATGCCCAACTATATTAGACTATGACGCAGAAAGGCTTCATTGCTCTCCCCTTCACATGGGGGAGGGGAAACAGTGTGTAGTTGGTTGTTAGTTGGGTAAAAGTTTGAGTTCTTATTGAACCGTGTTACCTGGTAGCCTTATGGACATATGGGGGTTAGGCGTATGGGCAGAGCATAACATGTGCCTGTATTTGCAGCCGCACAGGGCCCCAGCTACTGCGTTTATCTGTCCATAGTACTGTATGGATGGAGTACACAGTACCCGGGTAAATGCAAGAACCGACACAAGTTGCCAAATTTTACGTTTTGTGGTCGGTAACTTACGCCCGTGTGCATGTAAATGCCAGTACTTGTGTGTACAGGCATGTACCCGAGTACTGCGTATTCTGTCTATACAACGCTACAGACAGAGAAACGCAGCAGCTGAGACTCCTGGCCGTCACAAATACAGGTGTATTTTACGCTCTGCACATATGCCTATAAGGTTACCAGTTCACATGACTATATTTATAACAGTTAAAGAAGATCTCAAACTTTTACCCAATTAACAGCCAAATACGCACTTCTTATCTGTGTATACATTTCTTGTATCGCAGGTATCTGTGCCAATCACAAGACCTCTATTATCAATTTCCGTTAGAAAGCCAGGCTTACTAGTTATTGTTATTATTACTAGTTTCTGGTGATTACGCTTGCTCATAATCTACATAAAACAATGGAATTTGATAATAAAAATCAATAAAGACATGCAGCCACAACTACATCCAACACTTTTATTCGTTACCTCGGTAATCAACTCCAGAATTAAGTTTCACCACAACAGGTCGTCCAATAATCTGCTTCAAAAAGTCACTAGGGGTTTGTTTCCGTAGACTCATTCTGATATTTCCTAAAAGCAAGAAAATAGCATTAAATACAACCTGTCAGTAACATTTAGAGGTCTATAAAATCTCTTCAACAGAGGCTGACAACTATATAAAACACTGGTCACATCAGTTGTACTTCTTATCCACAGTGCAATGATATGAAGATGCAAACCCTTCATGATGACCTGTAACTAGACCCCAGCCCTAATATTTCAGGACCACCAAAGGATAAGTTGCAGTATACAGGCTATTCTGACAGGGGTGATGGTGAGCTAGAGGCCCCATTTATACAGCATGTAGCAATTAGTAGTAGGCATCATTCACACTGGGCTAACTCGGGGCGTACACGTCCAGAGAATATGAGAAGAGCAGTACTATATATACACAGTATCTCACAGAAGTGAGTACACCCCTCACATTTTTGTAAATATTTTATTATATCATTTCATGTGACGACACAGAAGAAATGACACTTTGCTACAATGTAAAGTAGTGAGTGTACAGCTTGTATATAAGTGTACATTTGCGGTCCCCTCAAAATAACTCACACAGCCATTAATGTCTAAACCGCTGGCAACAAAAGTGAGTACACCCCTACGTGAAAATGTCCAAATTGGGCCCAAAGTGCCAATATTTCGTGTGACCACCATTATTTTCCAGCAATGCCTTAACCCTCTTGGGCATGGAGTTCACCAGAGCTTCACAGGTTGCCACTGGAGTCCTCTTCCACTCCTCCATGACAACACCACGGAGCTGGTGGATGTTAGAGACCTTGCGCTCCTCCACCTTCCGTTTGAGGATGGCCCACAGATGCTCAATAGGGTTTAGGTCTGGAGATATGCAGGTCTGGAGACATGCTTGGCCAGGCCATCACCGTTACCCTCAGCTTCTTTAGCAAGGCAGTGGTCATCTTGGAGGTGGTCATCTTGGAGGTGTTTGTGGGGTCGTTATGTTGGAATACTGCCCCGCGGCCCAATCTCCGAAGGGAGGGGATCATGCTCTGCTTCAGTATGTCACAGTACATGTTGGCATTCATTGTTCCCTCAATGAACTGTAGCTCCCCAGTTCCGGCAGCACTCATGCAGCCCCAGACCATGACACTCCAACCACCATGCTTGACTGCAGGCAAGACACACTTGTCTTTGTACTCCTCACCTGGTTGCCACCACACACGCTTGACACCATCTGAACCGAATAAGTTTATCTTGGTCTCAGCAGACCACAGGACATGGTTCCAGTAATCCATGTCCTTAGTCTGCTTGTCTTCAGCAAACTCTTTGTGGGCTTTCTTGTGCATCTTTAGAAGAGGCTTCCTTCTGGGATGACAGCCATGCAGACCAAAGGCAGTGTGCGGCGTATGGTCTGAGCACTGACAGGCTGACCCCCCACCCCTTCAACCTCTGCAGCAATACTGGCAGCACTCATACGTCTATTTCCCAAAGACACCTCTGGATATGACGCTGGGCGTGCACTCAGATACTTTGGTCAACCATGGCGAGGCCTGTTATGAGTGGAACCTGTCCTGTTAAACCCCTGTATGGTCTTGGCCACCGTGCTGCAGCTCAGTTTCAGGGTCTTGGCAATCTTCTTATAGCCTAGGCCATCTTTATGTAGAGCAACAATTCTTTTTTTCAGATCCGCAGAGAGTTCTTTGCCATGAGGTGCCATGTTGAACTTCCAATGACCAGTATGAGAGAGTGAGAGCGATAACACCAAATTTAACACACCTTCTCCCATTCACACCTGAGACCTTGTAACACTAACGAGTCACATGACACCGGGGAGGGAAAATGGCTAATTGGAACCAATTTGGACATTTTCACTTAGGCGTGTACTCAGTTTTATTGCCAGCGGTTTAGACATTAATGGCTGTGTGTTGTTATTTTGAGGGGACAGCAAATGTACACTGATATACAAGCTGTACACTCACTACTTTACATTGTAGCAAAGTGTCATTTCTTCTGTGTCGTCACATGAAATGAGATAAGAAAATATTTACAAAAATGTGAGGCGTGTACTCACTTCTGTGAGATACTGTGTATATATAGTACTGCTCTTCTCATATTCTCTTGTCTGGGAAGCACTGGAATGCATGGAAACGCATCACAAGGCACTGGAACGCATCTTAAAAAGCACATTTTAAGCAAAAAAAAAAGGTGGCAAAAACGCAGCAAAAAGGGACTGCGTTTGCAGATCTGCTCCAGATCTTGTCTAGACATGGTGTGAACAAGCCCTTAAAGTGTATGTCTGGCCGAAATACAAAAAACCTTCAGTACATCTCTGCAATACATACATATTGCCCATGTTTTATCCTGCCTGCTGGACTCCAGAGATCTGCCTATCAGCCACCCCTATCTGGCCCACTACATATACATTCATTGATTTCTTTCTCACACACTGCAAGTAGAAATAGGGCTCTGGAGAAATACAGTTCTATGCCTATGTCAGTATTGTATCTCTTAGCAACTGCCCCTATAAGAATTTTACAAACCTGGTGGTATTGTCAAAGGGCACTAAAAGGAACATGATAAAATGAAAAAATAACACCGGGACATAGTCTAGTGGAGGAGAAGAATGTTTAGGGTTATTTGGGTAATACCTGGACATACACTTTAAAAGAAGAACTATGGGGTAAGTGTTTTTCTCCATAGTTCTCCCAAGGGTCACAGGAGGACATAAACTAGCGTCCTCCCGTTACCCTAAGCTCAGTATACAGCTTGCAGTATACTGAGACTGCCGCAGCAGGGACGAATCCTTACTTTATTGTCGAGATCCACCCAGCTGCGTGAGTGACAGCTGGCTCCGTTCCTCCAGTCAGCACTGAGGAGTGGGGGAATCCCTGCAGAGAGCCGTGAGTGACAGTCACGGCTCTCTGCAGGGACAGGATCGAGGAGTGAGCGCCGGTATGTGTTCGCTCACTTCCCGATCTACTGAGCCGACGTGTGACAGTTTAATTGTCACACGTCGGGTCGAACTATGAGGGGAGTGAAAAATCACTCCCCTCATAGTTCTCCTTTAAGAAAGGCAGCAGACGTATAGTGTCCGTTCAGAATTTCCAACCAGCAGGTGGAACTCTAGGAGCTTTTGGTGTTTTTACCAGTTTCAACTGTTAACAAAACCAGAATTACATATAGGTTATAGTAGGGGTGGGCAACTCTGGCCCTCTAGCTGTGCTTTAACTACAAATCCCAACATGCCTCTGGGAGGCATGTCTGACCGCCAACCTTGGAATGCCTCATGGGACTTGTAGTTCCACATCATCTGGAGGGCTGGAGATGCCGACCTCTGGGTTATGGTGTGTTACTAGCATTGACACTGCAGTCCTCCCATAACAGTTAATTACCAGTTGAACCTGCGAGATATGTTATCATTCTACAGCAGGGTTGTCATGCCATGGGCAGGATAGTCCTAGATGGATGTGTACCGTATTTGCCGGCGTATAAGACGGGGTTTGAGACCCAAAAAAATTATACGCCGGGTATACTTCGGTATACTGTATGTAACTTCGCCTGCCGTGATTGGCTCATCGCTGAGCTAATCACGGCAGGCTTTGCATTCAGTAAATACAGGCTTTGTATTAAAGAATACAAAGCCTGCCGTGATTGGCTCAGCGCGGTAGTAGCTGAAGGACGGAAGATGGAGGACGCTGCTGGGATCCTGGACAAGGTAAGAGACTGTAATCCCGAGTGTGGCTCGGGGTTAACACTTATGGTACTGAAAATTAACCCCGAGCCACACTCGGGAATACCGCCAAGGAGGTTAGCAAGTGCATTTAAACATTGTTTTGGGCTATACTCGTCTTATACGACGAGTATAGCCCAAAACCTATATTTGTACACAAAAAGTGGGGGGTCGTCTTATACGCCCAGCCGTCTTATACGCTGGCAAATACGGTAGTTTAAAACAGAGACAAATAAATGATTAACACTATTTAAGCAAAAAGTTTTTTTGTTTTTTTTCTGTTTGACCTTGACATGGACTTTCAGTAACATGGACAGGAGTAAGAATGAATGGACTACAAGTATAGTGACGTCACTGCACTTCTATTCCATTGTGAATTACAAGTCCCTCTGCTGATGGCAGTTTCTACAGTCACAGATCCTGTTACACTGAATTAACCCCTTCGTGACTGACGACGTACAGTGTACTTCGCCAGCATCGGGGCTGTTTAAACAAGACAAGCTGTTTTAACTTGTAAAGCCGACTGTCAGCTTCACAAAAGAAGCCATTCTGGCGACTCAGCTGTCGCCAGATCGCTTCTAGAGTCCCGTGAAGGGGCCGCCCAACACCCCCGCCGTGCTTCCCGGGCTCCGTTGCCGCTCCTACGGGCCCGGCTTCTGTGGAGGAGATGGACGTACCTCCGTTCGTCGATCCCCACCCCCGTACTGTGGGACCGGGAGCGATGCAGATTGGATCACTTCCGGTCCCAGCTGTCAGTGCTGAGCTCATGCAGCTCAGCTATAGAAGTGCGATCTGCACTTCAATAGCATATTTCTAGTGTAAAGGTGACACTGGGGGTCTTTTGGACCCCGAGCATCACCTTAAAAGGAGTACCTGTCACCACCATCTGCTATCACATAGGGGGGGCTTGAAAGCCCCCCTTATGTGATAGCAATCAAAGTTAAAATAAAAAAATAACAGTTTTTAAAATTAAAATAAATCAAATCTAAAAACAATGTAAAAAAAATGTTAAGTCCCCCGCGCGTCACCACGTAAACACGCGTCGGGTGCGCCTACGCATGAAAACGACAAACGCGCTACACATGCTGGGTATCCGCGCATGCCGGAGTGAGAGCGAAAAATTCTATGGCCAGTATTTTTGGGGATCTCTAAATTGATGACCTGTGGGGGCTTTTAAAGCGTCGTCTATAGACTTTTTGGGGTACAGAAGTTTGTCGCCATTTCACGGACGCACATAATTTTTAACCTAGGCATGTTGGGTATCTATTTACTCGGTGTAACCTCCTCTTTTATATTTTATTGCGTTTTGGGACATTTATGTACATTTTACACTAAGTT